ACGTTCTGGTGAGGGTATCAGATCCGTAATAATCAATTCCGGCTGCGCAAATGCCGTCACAGGGAAAGGCGGGCTCGAGGATGCTACTAGCATGGCGGCATCCCTTGATGGGCTACTACCCGACTCTTCGTCCCCGGACCGTACTCTCGTCATGTCCACTGGGGTAATTGGCCAACGCCTTCCCATCAAGAAGATTCTCCAGGCCGTGCCCAAAGCGGTATCTAATCTCGAAAACACGCACGACTCATGGCTTACGACCGCCCGATCGATATGTACTACCGACACCTTCCCTAAACTCCTCTCCATGACATTCACCCTCCCCTCTTCTCCGACTATCATCTACTCAATAGCAGGAATGACCAAAGGTGCCGGCATGATCCATCCAAACATGGCCACGCTCCTCGGCATCCTTTGCACCGACGCTCCCATCCCAGCCTCAACCCTCCGACCTCTTCTCACCCACGCCGTCGAGCGCTCCTTCAACGCCATAAGCATAGACGGCAGCACAAGCACCAATGACACTCTCGCCGTCCTCGCTAATGGCGCCGCTGGCGGCCAGCCCGTCACTTCGCCTGCTTCAGAGGATGGAAGAGCAATGCAAAAGTTGCTCACAGACTTCACGCAGCAGCTCTCACAACTAGTTGTGCGAGACGGCGAGGGAGCTACCAAATTCGTGCGAGTCAAGGTCATCAACTCGCCCTCTTTCGCGGATACCAAACTCATAGCTTCATCTATCGCCCGTGATCCCTTGGTGAAAACAGCCCTCTACGGGAAAGACGCAAACTGGGGCCGAATTTTGTGCGCAATCGGCTACACACAAGGCCTTTCATCGTCGAAAACAGTCGTTCCAGCCCGAACATCCGTAAGTTTTGTACCAACCGACGGGTCCGAGCCCCTCAAACTCGTCATAAACGGGGAGCCCGAGGCCGTGGATGAGATGCGTGCGGCCCAGCTCCTCGCCGAAGAGGATCTCGAAATACTCGTAGACCTGGGAGGCGGAGGGGACGGAACCGGTAAGGAAGAGGCGAGTTATTGGTTTTGCGATTTCAGCCACGAATACGGTGCGTTACGCCCCGTTTGGATCGCACCGTCTGGGGCCAGAGACTGACCGTGAACAGTGACAATCAATGGAGATTATCGGACTTGAGGTTGGAGGGGGGGCCAGGTGGAACGGTCCTACCCGTGGTTTATTTTAGATCTCTGCTTGGATGCTGACGCTGATGCTGTAAATATGCACCGTGGGCGACGAACCGCGCACCAGGATATCGGGGTACGGACGGGATGTAGGTCTCTCGAATGAGACAGAAAGAGGGACATTGCCCATGAAACAACGATGCTCGCCAGAATATGCAACAGTAAATCCTGATATGATTGGACTACCGGCTTCGATCTCTTTGCAATTGGTCTAATATACCGTCGAGATCCCACCTGCAACAAGACACGGCGATTCTTCCTCAGCGATGACCGATTCTCTAGATGTTTGCCCGCACTCACATAAAGGTGAGAGCAGTGTCTGGGAATCTAGATTTATAATCCAGGCATCGATCCAGTCGTACATGTATATATACAGAGGTATACCTCATCATATGCAAGCTTTTACCAGACCTTGGCCTCCACCTTCAATCACCTTCATAGTCTCTTCCCCACATACTCTTTTCCTCCATGCGTCGGATGATCTGGAAACATGGGGAATCCAAAGACTTCATCTTTTCACCCCATCACCATTCCCTTCAGCCCTGCCATATCACCTTCCTTCGCGGCAATTTCGAAATACCCGTAGATAATGCTGCCATCCAGTCAGTTCAAACCATCAAACATTTGCAACATAGCAAGATTGGGACAGTACGCACGTCACGGCTAGTAGTATACCCGTCCCTGAGCCTAGAGCACCCATAAGATCACTGGCGACGGACAGAGCACCGATACACGCTCCGCCGAATGCTGCCGCAGTAGGGATGATCCTCTTGAGCTCTCTGTACATGCTCTGTTCCCTGTGACCCGCCATGCTAATAGCGCGTTTGTCAGCTTGCCGCCATCCACGGGCATCTACCGGCGGTACTCACACTAGCCCTTGTTCCTTGAGCTGCTTTGCTACATCTCGGGGTGCAGAGCCGCTGACTTCAATCCAGGTCTTCGAAAAGATAGCGCAGGCGGTCAACATAAATACGATATAGATTGCAGTCTTCTGCAATGGGGCAGCATCTCCAGTCAGTAACTTCCTTGAGACTGTGTCGTGGAACAGTTTCGGGGGTTTTTCCCAAACTCCCCAACTGTGTTTCATGACTCAAAACATGACATGTGTTAGGGATTTGGAGCTGGAGAAGTTGCTTACGACGGGATCAAGGATTGCTTCCGTAAAGTTGAGTGGTGGGGACATCTGCAGATTTTCCAAGTCAGCACTCCATTCTAGACTGAGATTAAGACGTGAGAATTATCAGAGGAGTAAGAATGCACTCAAAACATGCATTAGAACTCAAAATGCTGTAGGTTTGAGGGGGGGAACACTCGGAAGAGTAGACTTACATAATAGGCAACCCCAGAGCTAGCATAGAGCTGAGCGCTGCCTGATCTCTGGTCAGTCAAGTGCGAACCCAGCCGATTACAAGGTATGAATGTGTCAATGTGGAAAGAGCTATATGTACATACCTTCTCTTGGTTCCCAGACTCCAAGCAACTTGACAAGGAGGTTTTCACTGAATCTAGAGTACAACATCTGCGACATAAGGAAAATGTTGGAGCTGAGCGCCGACTGTAACATGATGGGCATGTTAGAGGTGCTATCAAAGAAGTTTAGTTAGCGTGCTTTCTAAGATTGTCTTTTGAGGCATAAAGAAGTGAGGGAAATTCGTACTAGAACAATCGGATTGGATAGGAACCTACGCAGATTTCGGAGTCAGCATGGTTCTTTCTAGGTGATAAACTGAGGAAGAAACACGTTTGAGGAGTAGAAAGAAACTTTTCGCTGCCGAAATATGGCGTTTCTTTCACCCAGGAAGATAATTCGGGAAAATGATGTAGGTTTCTGCTCTCGAAATGTAAAGTGTGACCCCAACTTAATATCGAATAGAACGGAAGTACTTTGAAAGGTACGTACCACGCATTCCGCGCTGTCGTGAGCTCTTGACTGGTATTTCTACGCGGAATCCCTGGAGGTAGATCACCGCGGCAAAGACCACCAAGGTTGCAAGTAGGTTCATGATATTGGGAAGATTCTGGCGATAAAACGCCTCTTGCAACGCTCTCTGCTTGTCTGGCCATGTGAGGAGGAGGTGGAAGAGTGCAATGACAGCGCCTTCAAACTCAGGACCACGGCCTGTGTTGATGGTCGTGGGAGAAAAAGCCTTCCAAACTATGGATTCACAAATATTCGTAGCGATGAACAGAGAAATGCCGCTACAGATTCATTAGCAAGTAGACCATAGTATTCCAAGGAGCACCGTTTACCTTCCTAATCCGTAGCCCTTCTGCAACAGCTCGTCTAGGAGAATAACGATGAGACCACTAAGGCACAACTGGACTATAAGTAAAACGCAGACGCCCGCGCCCAAATCGGCCGGTTGGCCGTAGAGACCCGTCAGCACAAACACCATGGCTTGACCAAAGGATAGAATGAGCGCGAATAGCTTTTGAGCAGTCTGGTAGAGTTCTCGGTCCGTCTTCAGATCCAAGTTCACATCAATGAGGTGGGTGCCTGCAAGACTGTCCGTTGATTTTAGCAGTTGTTCAGGCGCAGATCAAGACCTTCGCGCAAAATCTTACAGCTGAAAAACCATGCCCGAAGAAATTATCGGCGTTGTACCAAGTTCCATAAGAGTTCCACGGTTGCTGGCCAGCATCATGCGAAGCCAGTAGAGAGGATCCGAAGTATCAGAGGATACTATGCCGTAAAGAGGCATCTAGCCAGATGTTAGATCTACCGTCTCAGCAGCCTCCGTGATCAACGTACCTGACTCATCACGAGAAATATTAAGAGGGTCAGGCCCGTCCACATCTATCCATTTTTAGCTTCCATATCCTCCTACGCTGAGCTCAGGGCATTGTCTCACGAGCTTCTGGTTGAAAGGGGTTTTGGTTTCTGGAGCCGACACTTCGGGAAGCAAAGGAGTGAAAGGCTTGATCAGGTCGAGGAACCGTACTGTAGCAGAAGACGTCAGCAATTGCTGGTGATTGACAACAGATGTACAGAGCGAGTTGGATGCTAAGGGCAGGGAAGAGGACTGACGGCCGCTCATCTTTGCAAGGTCGCCGCAGAGCGGACTTCAGCTATTGAAGTATTCCGATGGGTGGCCAATAGTTCCAGCTTCGCGTCACTTCTAGCGATGTGCTGTCCGAATGGTTGTGGCAGGGTGGTAAAATAATGTCTGTATACAAAACCGTGGTGGACGTGGGATTTTAGAGAGGACACATTTCGGATCGCGCTAATCCTTAGAAGGCATCTAGAGCTGCCAAGCCCAGAATACGGCAGTCTTAATATCACATCATGCACGTTTTATGGCGCAAGACTTCTTTCACTTGTGAAGTCAGGCAAACCAGTGTATAGATGTTTTCTACTGTAAGACATAAGCTGTGTACGCCCCTGGAAAGGGCGTTCTCATCAGCTTTAGACGCCGTAGTATTCCCAACTGCAGTTCGAACCATCATCATTCGAAATGTGAAAAAAGAAAGACCTACCACCCAGGGCCGCCAACGCCTAGTTAAATAAAACTACTAATGCCGTAGGAAGCATGTACATGTGTTTCGTGAAAGGAGCAAGCCAGAATCGAAGTAGTAGAGGAGCAAATCGGTTATCTCGTAGCAGCGTAGGTGAAGCATATACACGCGAGGATCGGATTCAAAGCTGAGGACACCGGCCAAAGGCATACCACAAGCGTCGGCCTATCAATTAATGACCAATGCTTGGGTAATTACGGCGAGTGTTGGTGTCGTGGTAGGCTTCATTAGTAGTAGTATGCGATGAATCATATCAATACTACCGCACTGACTGTGCCTTAACGAGTAGTTCAGGTTTCGCCGTCGTCAGTGCCACCACCGTCCTCATCTTTCGGCTCCAAGCCTGCGTTCTGACAGGCCGTCCTCCAACGCGCAACTTCTCCATGCGTGCGTTGTAGCTCGTCTTTCAATCTGTCGACACTGGAGCTCAGTTCCGAAATGGCCTGATCTGTCAACAGCTTCTCGAGTGTCCATTTCTCAATGTTTCGTGTCTCATTGTCCTTCAGCTGTGTAATGTACTCGACGCCGCGTTGTAATATCGAGCCCTTGTTTTTCTCGCAGCCCGGGACTATCTTTGCGAGCTCGTTGATGCCTTCATTGATGGTTTCTCGACGTCTTCGTTCCACTAATGATTTGGTAAGTCCAGATCTTGATTGAGCTACTCGACTACTCACCTTCCTTGTGGTTGTCTCTTCGGACTTTGTGCCACTCCTCTGATCCTACAGGGGGCTTCCCGCCATTATCCGCATCCTGTCCGTGTGCGGCAGCCCCACCTTGATAGGCATCAAGGTTGTATGGAGTCCCTTGGGTGTGATGGGCTTGACCCTCATCTGACCCTCCGCCCATATCAAACGAAGAATCCAATTGCCGGTCCGGATCCGTGCCAGAGCCTGAGTTAGAGAATGAAAAGTCCGTGGGCTGCGGTACCGTTAATTGAGGCATACTCGCAGCAAGTGCTGCAGCTGCTGTAGTGGGAGCCGCATTGGCATTGACATTGGCAATGTGTCGAGAGAGCTGCTCAGACATGCTGGCAAAGTCGTGGTTATTCGAGTCATTGGAGTATGGATCGTGCGCGGAACTCGAGGTATCTTGTCCGTTCCCATGAACGTTGTTGGAAGCAGGTGCATGTCGTGAGCCAGGCTGCCTCACGCTACCGGTGTGGTCCGAAGATTCGCGTTTCCTCTTATTGGATGACTTGTGGTGGTGGACGTGCTGCATACCCTCGTGATCAGGATAGCCGCGTGTAGACATTTAGGCAATCAGAGTGAAAGGCGGCCGGTGGATTTGGGAGCGGAGAAGGAGTCTAATTGAGA